GTTCGCTTTATTTTTGTTTGTTTATGTTTTATTTTTCTTTTGTTTTTCTTTTGTTTTCTTTTGTTTTATCTTTGTTTTACTTTTGTTGTTTTCACTTGTCGTTAAATTGTCTTTTATCTTGTCAATACACTTTCTAACTTGGATTAATAGTGTATATTTAGTTTTAGTATTGTTTTATTATTCAAACACATTTAAAAATCCATCTTATACTCATATTCTCGTTAATTTATCATTATCAACCATCCACTTTCGTCATTTATATCTCTCTTATTTAAAATCTGCCGTGAACACAATCGCTGTTAACCATTTTTAAATATTCTCATACGTAAGAACTAGAAACGGTAGCAGTATGGATTTTGAATTTTTGTATGGCGTTTGAAAGATCATGGTTAAAAATAGATTCAGTTGGAAATTTTGCCTTCAATAACTTTTTTTGAGTGCCAATTGATAAATTTCCATTTTTAGTAAGAAATTGAATTTCGCTAAGAACATCTTCAGAAATGTTTCGATATATCGAGACGTAATGTTAAGCATCGGGATGTAATGGGTGATTGTATATATTGTCAAAAGTTGTAAGAGTTATGAGCGATTTTTTGGGGAGTTAATATTGGCATACCATTTGTACCCTTGTCATTTCAATTTACGATCGTGATGATTATGAATGTCAACTTTTTTTTTTGGTTGAGAACGGTCACTAAACTCGTATCTATAACTACGATGCTTTATATGACCCTTTGGATGTAGCTCTAATCTTTTTCGAACAACGCCAAATCCTTCTCGTTTGCCGTAGGTTTTTATAATCTTATCGATCTCTTCCCATAATTCAAAGACATAACCAACACAAAGATTTACAATTTCATTAGAAATGTTTATATCTAGATAAAAGTAAGATAAGTAAAATAAGCAAGAAATATAATGCTAATGTAACTAAAATTATAGCTAACAATCTCACCTTCATTTGCAGAGTCTTGAAGTTGGCTACTTGATTCGGCTATTTCTTCATTTGCGTCACTCTGGAGTACTTGATTAGTCAGTTCTACGTGAAAAATAGATTTTACGTTGGAAGTAGATTCTATATTAAATATAGCGAGAGAATTGTTATCTTGAATAGTTTGAATTAAAGATGGTCTCCTAAATTATTTTTGGAAAAAATGATATTTTGGCAAATAATTCGGTTTTGCTATGTTGCTTATATTAATGAATACTTAAAAACCACCTAGAAATACTTGTTTTGATTTGTAGAATCCAAATAATTTCAGAAAACAATTTTGGCTACTAATAAAATAAGTCATAATAATTTCAGATTTAATTTCGGCAAGTTAATTTTGGCAAATTATTTAATTAGATGACGTCATTTCGGCAACCATCCTTAGTTTGAATAGTTAAGTTTTGTATAGTCTTGCTTTTTGACATCCAAAATCCATAACTCATATCCTGTTCACAAAGTTCTGCGTTCATTTCAATAATACACGAGTTTTCCTTGAATCTTGAGCACCGATTTGAAGTAAAAAACTGGCAATTGCACATAAACATTTTGATTTGTCATTGGTCAAATCATTGAATCTGCGATTAATATAATATAACTTGCAATGTGATATAGTTTTAACCAATAAGAATGATTAAAAACATATAATTAAGGAAATTAAAAATACGAATAATGTGAAAATATGAAAAACAAAAGCTTAAATCTGGCTTGAAGCACTAATAAAAAATGTCGGGAAGACAATCTTACATATAACCTTCTCTCCAGTCCTAACCCTAACCCTTAATCCTAACGCTAAAACTAATCTTTAATATCCTCAACCAATCAAAACTTCGGGGGAAATTAGTAAATGCCACACCAATGAAATGACAGCACCAACGAAAATGCTCACCAATGAAAAGAAACGCCAAATACAATAAACAAGATGATGTTATACAGAGTTCAGCCAATCAGATATAGATCATGTGCATTAAATCAATCGGTCAGATGTCACGTGATTTATTGAGGTTGTTCCTGAAACAGGGTGTTTCAATTAGATTATTCCTTATAATAATATTTCTTATCTTGAAAAGTTTATTTTATTTTGCATGTGACACTACATGCAATCTGAATCAAATCAATACAAATTATATTCAAATTGACTCAATCTGGATTGCATTATTTCACTTTAGTGTTTTTCTAATTGTAACTATAAACAAATGTGACTATAAAGGAATTTGACTGAATTAACAAAAAAAAAGTATATTCAACTTGTTTATAAATCAATTATTAAAAGAACATAATTATCTTTGAATATTTCTGGTCTCATTCTAATTGACCAACAAACAAACATATGTTATCTACCTTTAGATATTCATATTCTCTTTTCCACTTGAAGTTATATCTTATAAACTCTTCCACTTGATTTGACAACACATATCATTCACATGTTTCTCTCATGATAATAATGTGCTTGACTTCGTTTCATTCTCGCCTGCACTCTTGTGCTTTTCTTTCTTTCCTGCTTATCGCCAAACACCGCCCAAAAAACACATTCACGTTATCGTAGAACCACCCATTGTCACCGGTAAGTGAGTCATTAATAAATTTAGTCAACGTAGTGAACTTATTAATAATATCGAATACTAATCTTGTATTACCGAACGCAACTTATCTATATTATTTTCTCGTAATTCCAGGAATTCCAAAAGGTAAGTTTCTAATTTCTTCGTTTTTTCTTACCTCTGTTCTTATTGTAACATTCCTACGATATTTCATTATCTTTAGATATAACTGCCGAGATACTAACAAAATTAATTCAAAGTCCTGGTCAGCTTCCTGCGAGGAGTGATCTTAATGATTTCCTTAACGAAAAGCCTAATATGCAAATACCGCTTATTCCTACCCATTTTTCCAAAATCAATACTGGAGGTCTGGAAGGCTTATCTGAAAATGAACGAAATATATATTTTATGCAAAGTACAACAGAGGAATGTACAAGATTATTATCACAAATAATTTATCCTCCTTCATATGGAACAAATGAAGACTCTTATCATGCTTTTTGGGATGTTATTATTAAAAATTCGCTAGAATGTTTTGAAAGTGTAATTATGGCTTGGAATCAATGAGATTTGATCGCAATACTAACAAAAGAACATCAACAGGTAAAGTTAACAATTACCGATTGATTGATAGGAATATACAATTTATTAACAAAGAATTTACAGGTCGCAATCGCCCAGACATGGTATGGTTACATTGGTGAAAAATGTTTGTCCTTTTCGTGGGGAAGAAAAGTCGGCAGATTCTACTGAGGACCCTTCACGAGAATTAACTAAGAAATTCAAAGAATGGACCTACGGAGATTCTCCATACCTCTTTGGTTACTATGCTACTGGTAAATTGGTCACTTTTGTGACTTTGTCTGAGTCCGTCGAAGA